GTCACGTCACTCATGTCGTCTCCTCTCGTTCACTTCATAACGTCCATTCCTTTATGAATATCTGAAACTTGTCTGTGCGGGAGGTGGACTCTTGACGACAGCGTCTGCGTATGCGCCGGGGATTGGCACAGCGTCGTATTGCTGTTCACCGGGCGCCGCGGCAGTGAAGCTACTCTCGGGAGGAGATGTGGTTGTGGGGGTGAAGAGAGCGCCTTGCGCAACCTTGGGGGTGGCTGAGCGCGCCTTGGTAGGAGGAGCTTGTAGCTTAAAGGTCTTCTCGGCGGGTTTAGGAGTATAAGCCTGGCTGGCCCTGCTGGCGAAGGAAGACGATGGCTCGATGATCGGGGCGGCGGCGGGAGTGAAGCTCGGTGCTTGGGAAACCTCGGAGAGCGAGTTGTAAGTCGAAGGCGGGAATCGCGGCGACATTGCGTACTGCGAGAAAGAGGGCGACTTGGGGCCGAAGCCGGGGGTGTTGGGGGCCGACTGTGAGCGTAGCTGGGCCAGGTACAAGTCCGAGCGGGCGCGGTCTCGCATGTCCATTGACTTCGTTAGCTTGCGCTTTGTGATGTATCGGTAGAAGACGATGCTGTAGAGCGTGATCGTGAACACATCGAGGACGATCTCGATCAGGGCGCAAATCAGGGACCAATTCTGTTGATGAAATGAGATAGTTAGCAACTACGATCAATACTCCTAGCAAATTGCAGGAGGCACGTGTAAACTCACCTGAAGTCGGCAGACAAGAGCGTAGTCAATCTTCTGTGAGAAGACCTGAGATCGCTTATTATCAACGCAAGCCCATCCCCACATGTCCTGATTGTTGCTGTTGTCGCGAGAGAACTGTAGAATGCCGGCGGCAGCAGCCCACAGAACTGACGAAGCAATGAACCAGCCAACTGCGAACAGCGTGTAGTAAACGCCGACTTTCTCAGCTCGGTGATGGCCGCCCCTGAGATAGCCGAAGAAGATGAGGATACAAAGAAAAAGATTGACGCCCGAGACCGAAAGGACAAGGACCTGAGGCCACAATTTTGTGTTTTGTGCCCACGCCGGTAGCCCGCTTTGCGCCGCAAGGTGGTTTGTCGTACGGAAGACGTTGAAGGAAACCGCAAGCAGGGAAATGATGATCAAACTGCAGCTGAAGCTAATACCACGCAGGGCGAATTTAGCCAGTCTGACTCTGTACTTCAGGCCCTAAACCGATATTTAGTAAGGCAACGCAGCTATCCTTGGGTTGTTAACACTCACCACATCCTTCTTTTGCGCCGCTTCGGTATCTTTTTCTCTGGATTCAAGAATATCCTCTTCTCTGAATGTTGGACTTAGAGGATTCTCGAATCTCCTTCCAGGGGTGCCGGGAATTCTCATGGCACTTTTCAGGGGCGACTTCGGTGTCATTGGCATGTTGACCGTTTGTACCGTCGAATCATCATTAATGTACCCGAAGCCTACGTCGGCTGGCTGAGCCTGCTTAACATCTGACCTCTCATCCCGACCGCCAAACGGGTTGCTCATCTGTGGTTCTATGGGAGAATATACTGTGGTAGCCTCTGCGAACCGGGGGGTCCTTGGCGGCTTCAGTGAGGATGTGGTAGTATATGATCCATCTGTTGACGACGACCGTGACGGCGTCAAGGTGAGGGCGGCAGGGCGCCTCTTCTCATCTTGCGACGCCATGGTAGCGTTGTGTATAATATGTTGTAATAAAAGAACAACGCTCGTCCCTGCGAGTCGACTATTCTTAAAAAAGAGCTTCGCGAACCAAGCCTATTGATATGTGGTCCGAGATAGGGATGAAGCAATTTTAACAAGAAGGAAAAAGAGTATGGAGACCAGCTATCGAAGAAGGAAGTCCTCGAGACCGGACACGCGAGGAAGGTATAGGTTTTGAATAAGCGCCCTTGGGTGTTCTAGGTGCTCATTCGATCCTCTAAAGCTTCCGCAGACCGTCAGTGGGGATAGCAGAACGTGCAGCATGCAATGGGATCGCTCACGGTGGGTCAGGGTTCTCGTGGTCTGTCCCAATGAATGCTTGTGATAGGGCGGTTAGAAAGATTCCCAATCTCGAACGGGCGAGTTTGGCGTGGCTAGACGCCGTAGGTAACGGAACGATGCTTCACAATGGCTTGATTGTCCCAGATCAGCACATTCAAACCTTCATGGCTTCATAGCTCTATGGATTTCTGGAACAGGTTGCAGATTCCCAAGACACGGAGAGGACAATGTAAGACAGACACCGTACCTCGTGAGCGAGAGGGGAACTACCTAGACGGTACTATCCAAGGGCATAGCCATTGGACCCCGACGCCGAGAATGATACAGGGCCATTTTGGGTCTCTCTACGTAGTACGTAGTAATAAGGTACTGCCGTACCCAGCCAGGTTGAAGTGACAGTCGCCATCACCCGGCTGTATTTCACCGTCGAATTGCGCGTTACCGCCCCCATCGCTAGACCGAGACCAGCCAGTTGTAAAGGGTGAATTTTCCTGATGAAGTTGCGGACGACGACCGATCACTGGCTTGAATGGGTCGCATGGCTCGAGGGGACAGGGATTATCAGCAGGGTACCCCCTCGGCGTCGAGCGGAGAGTTGGAGAAGAGACTGTGATTGGACGAATAGGTTGCAGGGGAGCGGCCGGCGGCGCGAGCAGAGCGCTTCGCAGGGACACTAAGAGACCCTGGTTGACGATCTCGACATCTCATAGGCGGAGACCGCCCGTTGCTGCGAGCAAGAGCATGGGAATCAACCAATCAAACGGCCCCCAGACGTGATGTCGCCAATCACCTGCATCGATCAGCTTTGCTGGCCTGGGCGGTAAAAGTATCTATTGGGGATACCCAGGTCTGCCCAGGAGCTCGAAGACGAGCCAATGGCAAGTCCCAGCCTTTCTCATCTCCGTTCGTGCATCCAAAATCCCGCAAAGATGCACCGTCCGCATTGTCGTCAGCGCGGTTTGCTAGTTTTTAATGAAGTCTCCGAGGCGAATCGCAGCTTAGATAGGGGTCGCGTCGATACCAAATCTCAGGCCCCGTTAGATCGCACCACAGAATAGAACAAACCGCCGACACGAATGCCATACTCATATAAGGTAGTGTATGTTAGGACATACTCAATGCGGCCCGATCGTTCTAGCTGTCATCATCGTTGGTTGCATGGTCGCCCGACCAGCATCTTGGGTGATACCACCCAATGTAGCATATCAAATTTGCTTGCATATCGTCCCGCCGCTACAGCAATATTGGGGGAACCTGGAATGTGTGCACACTAGGCTCTTCGACACCGAAATACAATCATACACACCACGAGGATAATTTTAGACTACTAGTAATGGAACACTACAACTAGTAACTACGTAGTAGTGGGAAGATGACACTAGCGGTGGTCAGATTATAAGAGCTATATAACGCTACCGTGCGGTAGTTCCCGGAATCGTTGACGTGATCATACAGACTCCGTCTCCTGCCCGACCCTTCTTGAGGCGATGTAACTGTTGATCGTCAGGCTAGGGAGCCTCATTGGCATATCGAGGCTGGGTGTATATCTAAATTTGTGAAAAAGCATTGTAGAGAGCCATTCATGAACCTTAACACTCGAGCCTTGCTTACTTCACGATGCCGATTTTTGGTGGAGGGTATAGAGATGATTTAGTATCGCCTAGGATACCATCATCAGCTTCTGTGCTGACTGTGTCGATGAACGGGTTTCCTTCTTTCATTTACTCGAAACGTTCTACGAACGCCTTTGACGTAGGACGATCGATGATACAGGGCGACCCCCCGCGATATTCTGCTTAACTCCCTCCATCTCGGGCAGTTTCTTACCTTCAGTCGTCTTTAAATCAGAGGGCAAGATCGCGAGCTAAACAGGATCTTGCCTATCATTCTTGTTTCCAACACACCACTCATTCGTGTACTATTATTAAACGTTATGTTCAACATTTAGCTTGTCCAGACTTCCAGAATTCTCGCTTTCTTCTCGGCATACGAGTACATCTTAATGGACCGCGGCAAGCTATTGCTTACAAGAATACCATGCTCAACAAAGACTAGCTAAATGTCCTATGCGTTAGGTTCTCTATTGGTCGTGGCGAGTAATGCGCAGGCTATCGAGATCTCGTTGCCTATTTCGCAAGAGTTTTACTAAGATATTTGCGAATTCAACATAGAGACTCTAAGACTAATAGCGCAAAAATATCAGACCTAGAGCTCCTGGATTCAGGTAAAAAGTTCATCAGCCCGATCTTCACCCTTGCAGTATGCTCTCGGAAGTCCACTAGTGACCATCCCATACAAGAGGTTGGATGCATAGTCAAGACACAACACTATCGAAGGCGGAGTACTACTTATGTCGTAGGCCCGGGAGTGTTTTCTCCAATCACGGGCGTAGCCAAAACAGGACCCGAATCAGACATTCTCGATTGGTATATATTTAATAACTGTGTAGTACATGTCCTAGCCGTTAACATTTTTGAAACCAAGAGATTGACTGTATGAGCACTCCTGTAGGCACCCGGCAAACATCGACTATGCGAACATGACTGAAACAAGCCCGTATGATTAAGGCAATTCTGGAGCAGTCAACGCAAGATCAATACCACCTCATTAGAGCGACCTGCGGGAGACTGCGTTGATTATTGAATGACGGCCAATCCGTTAGCAACCTAAAGGCAATAGACAAGGCCGCCTGGATAAACCCAATCATTTCAAACTTGACTCTTACATCTGAATGACGCCTTGTCTCGCTGATAGCCTGATTCCACGCAAAGCAACGGTGTTGTCGCAGTTAGAGCAACAATAGTATATATGCCAATGTGTGCGATTCCCAAGTTCATACTCGAGCCTCAAATCCTATTCAAGGAGGTTGCCATGATCTACCTCAGTAGGTAGGCATGTGATAAAGGGGAGGAGGGGAGGAGGTTAGGAGGGTCAGACTACCAATTATGAGTTGGCCTCAAACAAGTTTAGGCAATGGGATATACAAGAAGCCAATACAATCAAATGGCCTCGTGGCCCAATGGCAAGGCGTCTGACTACGATAAAGAGTTGTCCAAGGTTATCCATCGGCTGACTCTTAGTGATAATCAGGAGATTCTGGGTTCGACCCCCAGCGAGGTCATATTTTCTTGGATCCCATGATTTTTTTTTCGTGTCCAAATCTCTCTCTTCCTTTGTGAAAAGTGAAAAGGGGCGGCGTCACGTGACATACTCTAATATAAATGGAGATATCGTAGCTCTATGTCTCTATCGCCTCGCCTTTAGTTTGAATACAACATCCACCTCACTGAAATACGGCCATCGCATGGTGGATCATGTTCAGTGGTACAGGGATCTCAAGAGTGTTGTTAACCAAGCTCTGCATGCTCTTCTTGACCAATACTCACCGGTGATCATAGCTACGTGAGTGAGTGGGAGACCTAAGACACGGTTGGTCTAGTGACATACAAACCACCAAGAACGTGAGACGAAGATGTGAATAATATGCTCTTCGTGTATAGGCAATATACTATCATTAGATTAAAGTTGGTATAGGGGGTATCCTTCATCATTTCCTCGTTTTTCGCGCGTGCTTCACCAGGTTTTCTATGACACCCTCAAACGCCTCCCTGTCGCCGATTTTCTCGTCTGTGCGTTTCTTCCAAAATTCGTGCACCTCGTTTGCTAAGACCTCCATTTCTTTCAGCTTTCTCACATGTTGTTGAAGTTCGAGGTCGGTCATTCCTTTTAGGGCCTCTTCCGTCGTGGCGCATAGCTGTTTTGCCGCAACTAAGTCGAATGCCGGGAGTTGGGGAGGCACTTTCCGCTTTTTTGAGCGAGATCTGGGTTTCTCCTTACCCTGGGAGTCCACTGAGACAGACGATCCGTCGGCGTCCGATTTCCGTAGTCGAGACACAGAACGTGAGTCCGTGGAAGTCCGCAGCGAGCCGTTTGACGTGACCCGGTGTAAGGATGGGAGGACTAGTTTTTTCTGTTTGGATGCAGGCAGGATCTCGTCTAAATCTACAGGCACTCCGAGCGAGACTAAGAAAAGTCTCCTGATGCGGGAACGGATCCAGTCAGGAGGTTGAAGAGGAGGTGGCGCAGCTAGTTGTGACCATAACGAGGCACTCCTCGGGTTAAAGAATATGGGATTGTCGTTCGGCGGTGAGGAAAGAGGAGAAATCTCGAGTACATCAGGTGGGTATAATGCATCTAAGTAGGGCTCAGAGGCGGTCAAGATGTCTTCAGAGTCTAGCCCATCGAGATCTAATATTGGCTTTGAGGCACACAGAAGTCAGTATAGTTGTAATAAGACTACCTAAGGAGGGTACTAAACACACAAAGGAAGGTATAGAGACTTGTGGCCGGTTTGCCACCGGCTGAGCAATTGAAGGTGCTTCGGCCTGCTGGAAGCCATCATCAAAATCGCCAAAATCCGCTTCTTCGTCGCCCTCTTCGAACTCGTCAAAGTCGTCGCCAAAATCGTCATCATTGTCAATCGTATCTTCGTCGCGAAGACTCGCGATTGATCTGGCCGCTGAAGATTTCCTCCGTCTGTGTGTTGACGGGGACTTCAATGCTTGGTTCACGGCCGTGTCATCTACGAAGGCACGGTCAATGGCAGTGTGGATTTTAAGAGGACTTGGTTGTCGTACCGGTGTTTTGTGTATTGACGTCTACTGAAGCAGGAACAGGGTTGGCCTCACTAGTGCCATCGGGCTTCCGAATGATGTCTGGCGTGGCATCTGCCTGATGCAAGTGTTCGTGATAGTCATGGGTCGAAGAACCAGGGACGTCGTCGGCCTCGTCGACCACCGTTTTGGGAATCGTAAATTTTCCGGGTGCGATGGCCTCGTTGGATGTAGGCGGGGACTGCTTGTCCTGCACAATGGCTATTTCATCTGGCGAGGCGTCCTCCGTCCTCTTCTCGTAGGCCTCGGTGCCCGGGACTTCCCCGTAGGAGGGCTCGTCGTCTACTTTTTCGACTCGAGTTCTAGGGATGGGAGAAATAGCCCTTGTACTATTCCCAGGAGACGACTGAGCATCGGAATAGTGCTCGTCCGAATCGGAGCCCTCTGTAGCAGCACAAGTTAGATATTGAGGGCCGTGAGAGGAAATGCCGGACAAGGATATGAGCTTACCCAACTCGTGCGCACCAGGATCCTCGGTCCCCGTCCTCTCGGGTGCCTCGAGACTGGAAGAAGGCCTGCGCTCTCCAGACATGTCGGGGACGTAGCGCGGGAGGAGATATCAAGCCCGATATTGCACACTGGTGAGGAAGAATCAACCAGTGCTGGGGATATGGAAGGCCGTTGGGATCGAGGCGAAGGCTCGAGGGTGCTTCCGCACGCAGGTTGAGGGGTAAGATGGCTGCTCGGCTAGCAGCAGGGAGAGAATGCAGTGCTGTGTTGAAGTAGCCAATGGATTTAAGGTGTCGATAGTGTGGCTTTCAAAGAGATGAGAAAGATGGATGTCAGGGGTCGAGGTTGGCTGAAGCCTGTGCCCGGGTGTTGCACAGAGAAAGCTAAGTCAATAAGACCCTACTTGGTAAATCATCTGCTCTGCTCTGCTCCCCTGAAGTTGAGGGTGGATGCTTAGGATCGGGATTGTAGTTGGAGGATCGGGGACACTGAACCTCAATCAGATGATGAAGTTGCGGCACTCAGACCAGAGAGGAGAGATATACCGTATAGTTGGTTGTCAGTTGATGGATCGATCGATTACCTACCTACCTAGACTTCAGCAAAACATAGGTACATAGGTGGCAGTCTAGACCGCTTGGACCTATTCTAAGACTAACTCGGTAATGACGGGCGTACTTGCGTACTGTACTTAGGACTTGAAGGTAATTTACCCTTGCCAACTGGCAACCTCCGGACCAGCTGTGAAACTACCCCGCCACAATTGAGTCTTAGCAGGAGTCTTAGGGCTGGATTAGGTAGTGTCGTTGCTTCCGAACCCCACGAAACCTTAGGTAACACCTCTGTCGTGACTACACATTCACCTACACATCCTGATTCCTGCACTTCTAATAGCGCACCCGATTGCGCACCCGACTGCAGAATGGTCAACATACCCAGTGCGTTCACCTGGTATCCTATATTTGCCGTCCGCTGACCGGATCAGAGACTCGTAAAACCTACTGTCAGAGGGAAGGTCGCCATACCCTCCACAGGGTCACGCAATACAGTTTGTTTACCTACACCTTCTAACCAACCTTTTTGGCTATTAACTAATATATCCATTTAGAGGCCGGCAAAGCCAGTACTTTCGCCCAAGGCAAGCGCCGATACGATCGTACGTAGAGTTCCTCTTTATTGAAGAATTATTCTAATTAATAATAGGCAAACAATCTGGCTATGGTGGACAGACTAAACCGGTTTTTCATAAAAAAGCTAAGACTACCAAGAAAGTTGTCCTACGCCTAGAATGTTCCGGCTGTAAATGCAAAGCACAGTTGGCGTTGAAAAGATGCAAACATTTCGAGCTTGGGTAAATCTTCAATTTTGTTTATTAACTATTTCGAAGCTGACAATATTACAGAGGAGATAAAAAGACAAAGGGTGCCGCTCTCGTCTTTTAACCCAGTTCATCTGTTGATGCGCCGATATGGGCTTAAGAAGGATATTTTCGGCAGCCGATAATATCTTCAGGAGCCGTAGGTGGTGACGGCCCGCGCCGCCTTCGCGCACTCTCCTGCGCCGGCGGGAGCCGCGCGATGATAAGAAGACGTCCAGGTCGATGATGGGGAAGTCCATTGCTGGGCCTTCGAGACTCATCTTATTGACTGGTTTCGTCTTCTAAGGCGGGGCCGTTCGAGCAGTCCATGGCCGGGTAATCGCAATGGTTATAGTTGCTAATGCACGAATGATGCTCGCTGCGGCCCAGCCGATGCCCTTGTACTAGGTTCTGGCATCGCTTTGATTGCTAGTGATATGCGTCCATAAGTCGGAAGAGGGTTTTAGCAAGAAGCTAAGCCTACCAATAGTACGCTGAATATTGCCCAAGGCATGAGCGTTTCATCAATCCACTGTAGGCGAAAGCCATCCTCTAATCCTGTCCTCCGCGAAGTCCTCCGTATCGTGAATTTTCCTGTGTTGTTAGACTAGGTACTGTGATGATCGCCGTTCTGGATGGCGGGGTACGGCAGGCGAGTTGTGGCAATTGTCCTTTTTACCGGAGGTACGGAGGTCCAATGCAAAATTGACTGGCAGGCTTGGCGTTAAAATAACGTGTAAATTAAACAAGCCAAACACGGTATTAGCACTACCGCTTTCTTAATCGGGCATTCTACCGTAGTAGAATTAGTAGCTTTTTAGTAGCGTTAGCAGTGTTAGCATTTATAGCAATTGCTATAAATTAGTGGACTTAGCGCCCGGGAAACAGGGCGCTGAAGGGTGTGCTGGGGCTCTTAGTTACAGTAGGCTAATTGGCTGGCACTGTGACCTAACGATTAGCCTGCTAGTTAATTTTGCATTGGACCTCCGTATCTTTATGATCATCGTGCTTGAACTCCGTAAGCCCAGCTTGAACTTCCGTAAACCCATCAGCTAGCATCCCGCCCGGTTCATCCGCTATGCGTTGTTCGACTCGTCCCATAGCCAGCCGCCGCCGCCCCGCGCCGACTTATCGATGCTCGCGTGCAGCGGCTGCCGAACTCTATTGGGCACGATTGCGTGGCTTTCAAGCCGACCGGCGATGTGCATGGACGTCTCCATTTTCGGTTTTATTAAAATAGCAAATTTTTTTTAAAACGCCTTCTTATCCCTTACATTATCACTTTTAATGAAAAAGAAAAATCCCACATAAACTCTAGGCATAATCTACTACAAATCTAAGTGGTAAAAGCGGATAATACTATCCGTATCATCAATCGCTAAATTATGAACTAGCAAGGAGAAAACATCTTATGTTACCAAATTTTCTCACAAATATAATATGCCGTTTTCCCTTTTATCAAACGTTTACAATTAGCTAACTATAAATTAACTACTAGGTATTAATTAACGGTTTACAGAACCTGGCAAGGGCTGGTACAGTACTTCGAAGATTACCAAGTAAGCAGAAACCTCCGGCCGTAAAGAATAGTAGATTAGCCTCCGAGACGCACCAGTACAGAGAACAAAGCTAGGTACCATC